CACCTTTGATGTTGGACAACATATTACTTCATATGCCTTTCACTTCTATCTGTTTCTTTTCAGTGTAATCATAACATTATACCTCTCTTCTGGATTCTACGGACACTTTGGATGTTCCCACTACCATAGTCTGGAGTACAAGTTTATTTCTGGATTTCTGTTGGATTGTTTGCTGTTTTAACTCTATTTGGAACTTTATTTTCTAGTTTGCTACAAAGAAAGAGGAAGAGATTGGCTTTTAACGACTTTTGTGTAATGTTTAAATGTTTTCTGATTGGTTGTTCTGTGCTGCTGGAAGTTTTCAGTAAAGAGAGATATGCAAATATTCACCTCCTTTCATTACTAAAATTAAGATTATAGATACACTCCATTAGCATAATCTACAATTGTGTATTGAATCCCAGTCTGGACATCTGAGGAGTGACTTCCACTCACCCCCCTAAAACAGAAATACGAATAGGGAGAGTGCTCATCTGGTTGTTGAACAAATACAGTATATGCAATTCCTGCTCAGCACTCAATCCAGGCCTATGGGAATTCACAAACTTTTCCACTACCTATCAACAGATATCAACACTATCAGAACCTTTCACAGAAAACTACATTTAAAAAGTCATCTCCACCTCCTCAAAACTCAAAGCACTGGGACCAGACGGGTCTGCTCATGACTGTTATCACTGCCGCAGAGAGGTGTTAACTCCACATCTTATAAAGATTCATTTCCTTTGTCATATTGCTACTCATGTTGGATGCTAAGGCATTTGACTGACTAAATTGGCAATACATGTACACCACACTTTAACGCTTTGATTTTCCTTTTTGTTAAAGCTGTTAGTGTACTCTACTCATCTCCATCAGCAAGAATTCTAAACAGAGGATTTTTCTCTAATCCCTTCAGAATCCAAAATAGAACCAGACAGGGGTGCCCTCTCTCTCCCTTAATATTAAGTTTGTCGCTAGAACTGCTGATTTAAAAAACAAATCCCAGGACATTCAAGGTTTCACAATAAACAACTCCACAAACTAATTGTTTGCTGATGACATCATTTAAAGTATAACACCAACATTGCCTATTGGAATGAACATAGAAATAGTAGAAAAGATGAAGCAGTGGCACTCCTTTTACTGGAGGAGTTTCTCCCTTTCCAATTTAGGAATCCAACTAACCAAGACAAACCAGGCATTGATCCACCTAAGCTTTTATCCAAAATTCATACAATTATCGCTCAATTGAGTAAATTTTGAGATTTCATTGCTGGGTAGAATACATTTGTGCAAAATGATGGTCCTATTAACCATTCTATATTCAGAACATTACCCCTTCCTGTTCCACAATATATTATTAAATGTTACAACATAGTCAACTCTCTGGCCAACATAGACTCTATGATTTGGTTGATCTCGCCTCCTCTATTGGCGACACTGGAAAATGTATGTATTCACCCATTTTAATAATCTCAATTGCTGTGGGCCCAGAAATTTGCGGGCCCCCTCTATTTAAATACACTAACTGCCACAAAACAATCCACACATATAACTGTGTGGCACAGATGGGCTCCACGGTTAGTAGTGATCAGCTCCTGTCTTTACCTAACCCCATTAATAACACTCCAACTCCTCTCACAAGACTTAAATCTAGTTGTTGTTTGGCCCTTCAGGCCTATGGCCATTTTTGGAGTTATTCCATCTAAAAAGTTGTTTATATATCCCAGTATTAAGATCAGTCTCTAGAGCCACAAAGTTAACCACACCAGTACCAGTGAGAGTAAAGACTTCATCAACATGATTCTAATAGTGGCAAATAAAGCAAAACATAGAGGCAACATACTACAAACAAATAGCTATTTCTTCTGCAACTCACAAACATTCTTATATGTCGCAATGGGAAAAGGAGTTGGGGAAGGAATTCTCTATTGAGACGTGGAAGACAACCTTACACCAAATGCACTGTACCTACAGATGTCTCAGCCACCAGGAACCTAATCACAAGATAATGATGGTCCCAGCACATTTGGTCTCTATCTACCCTTCATCACAACCAACTTGCTGGAGATGCAGATATGGGATAGGCTCTACGCTTGCTGATGCCGTTTTCGCAATAGATTTGAGTCATGGTTCGGAAAACCACCAATTACAAGCTCCCCATGGAACAAGAGATATACTTATTGAACATATTTCCGAGCCCTTACCCATTGCATTATAACAGCAGCGATCACTACTATTGCCCAAATCCCCACTATCCAAGCTGTATCCAACAGATTATATATTACTAAGAAATACACAAAGATGTCACATAGACTTTTGGAAAACCTAAATAAATTCCACGCAAAGTGTGACTGAGCGGCTTGAAAGTGACAGTGTGGTCTATATACACTAGAAGAAGCACAGGAGCAGGAAAGTCCCCAAAGGGTGGAATGAGCAGCTATACCTCAGTTGTTGCTAGCACGTCAACAACCTTCTACCAGTACTGATGTGAGCACCATACAAACTGTAAAGGCATAGATTGCGGTGTTTGTAAGTAACAGCAAGGCAAATGGAATCTCAAAAGATGAGTACCTCAGTTGCTGCAAGTGGAGCAACAACCTACTACCATCCTATACTGGGCTATAAGTCATCACACTACCGCAAGACTAACAAAACATAGTGCAGAACATGCAAAATAAAATAAAGAAAATAATCAAAAGATACCTCACGTGTTTCAGGGTATGACTACACATTCATCAGGGGAAAGTTATTTGCAGCCATGCACTGAAAACTGTGTTGGCTCTTTTGATTTTTGTGCTAGAGTTTAACTGTTAACCCTTTCAGATTAGGGTCTTTTAAGTTGAATCCTTTGTGGGATAAGGTTTGTGGGAGTGAGATTATATTGATACAGGTAGCTTCTAATGTATGTAATGTGTGTATTTGGAGATAATTAGATATCATTATTTCTTTATACAGGAATGCTCAAAAGTTTGCATACCCTTGGAGAGTTGGTAATGCATGTACATTTTCAACAAGTTACTCACAGGTTGTGTTTTTTTATAATTTACATTTCTTCAGGTGCTTATACTTGTTTGCAGAGTAATGTATTAGGACTTAACACCACCTCTAGTAGCCCAAAATATTCACTGTCTCATCAGTGGTATCACTGCTTACATTAGATTTTAGATTTTCTGCACTTCAGGTACCTTTCCTTTTGCAAAATAAGTTATTCAAGCTTCATACTGCTACTTGCAATTTTATAACATGACAGGAGACTTCATATTTGCAGCACATTAACATAGAGAGAAAAACACCAGAGACAAAAAACTCAGGAATCCATAAAAGGCTTCTCCCAACCAACTAATTCCTCTTTCTTTGCTGCTCTGCAGACAGTACAGGTCAGAGTACCACTGCCTCCTGTTTTATATGGGTGGTTGTGGGATAAATACTTTTACTTGTATTTGATCTTAAGATTTGTTTTTAAGATTTTATTTGATTGTATGATTTACAGGCAAGCGCGCATAAGTGCTACTGAAATGGTGAAGGCCCTAAACCAGACACCCGGAAGATAGACTCCAGAGAAGCGTCTAACCCTGATGCAATCAGGCTGGACGGCACTGCCTATATAGCGCGAGGGAGGCGGTGTCCTTTGGACGCAGCAGTGACCACCTTTTTAATAAAGACAGATGACTTGAATAAGTCAGACTCTCCTAGAGGAGAGCAGGCAAGTGCGCACAAGCGCTACTGGAGGGGTGAAGGCCCTAAACCAAGCGCCCAAACAGATTAGACTCCGGAGAAGCGTCTAACCCCGATACGATCAGCCTCGGCGGCCAGACTACACTGCCTAGGTGGCGCAAGGGTGATAGTCCTCGTGACCCCACCCCCACCACGGCCGCCCTAGCTGAATGGCGGGCGGACCAGGCCCTCTCGGAAGAAGAGGACGATGGGAAGTGGACCAAGAAGCACCACGGGACGGAGAACAAGCCCACTACAGGGGCTCTGACAACTGTGGAAGAAGGGTTGTGGGTCGCCTTAAACGAACCCCTGTGCGACCTTCGACCAATTGCTCATTTCTTAGGAAGGGTCTCGGCCCGGGCACCTAGCACCATCGGTGCGTTGCTGGGTCCGTAGATCGCTGACTTGAGAAGCCCGCAAGATACTTGGAGTGGTATACCCAGCCGGGCTCCCGAACAAAGTAGCCTCGTACCCAGACTTAGACCCCGATGGGTCGCTACGGCTCTCCTGGTGGCAACGCCTGTCTAGTATACAGGAGATCCAGAGTACAGCCCGCTGCGGTGCCTATAGTCTACTTTTCAGTCCGCACTGACAAGCCAAGAGTTCTCCCCCGCATGAGTGGGTTGTCCTACGGGACATATGGGGAAGAATATTGAGTCCCAGTTTATCATATGAAAAAACGTTACGGAGACATATCTAAAGCTCCAACCTGTACCTGTTATAAGGGAATGTCACAGTTGCCTCCACCTTTGGATGACATAACAAACGGGATCCCAAACCTGGGGATTGCAGGAGACCCTATCTTAGTTAATTCGGACCACTGGAGGTGCTTGGGATCAAGGGATCTGAGGCCTTTGGAGCCCACATGAGACTACGCTTGAAGGTATAGCCATTAGTTACTTTGAATTAGACGCGGTCCTCAGGGAACTTCCAGGACCGCGGGGCCCACTCCTGGTAAGGCGGGCTCAAGTTTCTCCCAGGCGAGATAAGGACCTGGGGCATCATTCATTTGGACGATAATACAGCCTGGCTGACAGGTTTGGATGAATTTAGGATGTTCGGGCATACCAGAACTATCCAAAGAGATATTTCTCGTTTTTTCCACGAGGACGTTTCGCAGGACGGTCTACCCAGATGGGCTGGCTGGATTCTCGGCGAGTTGCCCCCCAGACCGAAGGGACAGACGCTATCTGCGTTTTCCTTGTTTGGGTCCCTGGAGTTCGTGTTCAAACGAGGAATATTGAGCCCCTCTGCAGCTCGAGGTGTAGAGTCCTGGAGGGGGTACCTCCTATGTTTTCCCCCTATTCGAGTTTCTCATACGATTGGAATAGTTTTCCAGGAAGACCCTGTGTCAAGACCTTAGCCCACGGAGGAGGACCCATTAAGCCCCGTCCAGTTTCAGCCAGCATACAGACCGGTTTGCTGAGGACGCTGAGGAGGCCTTCCATTGTTGTTTCCAGGTCCTTACTACAAGTGTCTCGGTCTGCTGGTACCTTGGTTTTATGACCTCCGCTGCGGCCAAGTCGATTCCCTGGACCTGTCCCACTTGATCTCGGGGACTGTAAGACATTTGCCTGCATGGCGACCCTGACGAAGTTGGGTCTGGTACAGAGTAACAGACATTTTGCAAACACTGTTACAGGGTTCGATTATTGTTTGGTCGTTTTATTGACCAAGGACTGTCGTATCATTTAGATTAGGTAGGGTGTACAACTGTTTTCGGCGGGCCTCGCTCTGTTGGTATCTCCCTTCGAGCTAGACGTGCGGGTTCATAGGGGTGTGAGTCCTCTCAATTCCCGAGGACGGGTATTAATTTCCCCAAGGGGTACACGCTTTGTTTGTCATGCCTCAATCGTTGGTTTTCTGCATTTTTTGTCCATCTCTGACTCTAGATTTGTTCCCCTTATCATACCCTTTTTTCTTCTTTCAGATGGGTTCGGATGTTCGGACCTTAGTTGTCTATCGGCTCTAGTCGGACCCGAGGGTTATACTCTTGGGGTTGCGCACCCCTCTTTTTTATGTTGCGGTCGACGCCACTGTTTGTTTAGACGGTTCTTTTCCTTTTCTTCGCCCTTTATGTACCGCCCGGTGGTTGTTAGCATTGGCGGGGCGTATAGGTCTTTCGGTTCATTTCAGTCGGTTCTCGGCGACTTCAGGCGCCATCATGGCGGGCGTTTTTCTCCAGGACATTGTACACTTTCCTGCCGGTTACAGGAACTATCTTCGCTAAGTTAGGTTGGTACGGCGGATCATGTTTCTTTGGGCTTTGCTGTCCGAGCATTAAAACAGCAAATATGAAGCCTCTTGTCATGTTATAAAATTGTAGATAATACTAGCTTTAGTGTAACTATAATCTTAATTTTATTAATGACAGGAGGCGAATATTTCCCTCCCAGTTTCTCCCTTCCCTGGTTTGTTGGTTGGTTTGACTGACTTTTGTTTATTCCTGGTCTCCTGGGCTAAATTTGTTAATCTGGGTCAGTTGGGTTTTATCTGGAATATGGTACCATCAGTATGTTATGATGGGGATTCATGTTTTCTCAGTATCTGGGACATTATACTGTCAGTATTGACAATGGGGATTCATGTTATTCTCAATACATTTCATTCGCTAATCAGTGTTTTCGACTCTGTTTATCTCATTTCAGTTTAATGGTTCAGCTACAGTTCTTAGATCCGACTACTCTACAGGATAAAGGTCAAGGCTTTATCCACTGGTTCCACGTTTCCAATTTCAGATGGCATTCATCGTTATCTTATGTTGTTTCTCTTGTTATTTTATTTGTGGTGTATCGTTCATGCACCTTATTTTGTCACAGCGTGAAAGAGGAATTAGTTGTTTGGGAGAAGCCTTTCATGGAGTCCTGAGTTTTTTTGTCTCTGGTGTTTTTCTCTCTATGTTAATGTGCTGCTGTGGAGTTCTAGTAAAGAGAGACTTAAGCAAATATTCACCTCCTGTCATTAATAAAATTAAGATTATAGGTTTACTAAAGCTAGTATAATCTACAACTTTATGCCATCCTCACTGGTACCACCGCATACGTAGAACGTACTGATATATCTCACAAAAAAAAACAAAAAAAAACAACATAAAAAGAGGCGTCGGTTTTTTATATGATAGACCTCTGCAGTTATATATTCAGCACTCAAAACACTTTCTGTTTAACCAAAAAAAATAAAAAATTAAAAAAGGAGGAAAAGTTATATTTATATATTCAACTATATTCAGACTCCTCAAGTCTCCACTTGCTGATTCAATAGTAAACTTCAGCCTTAATATAAGACAGTCTCAGATTCTTCAGTAATATTTAAAAATTGCCAAGAGTCAGCCGTAACAACACTCAAAAACACTCATATTTGAAAAAAAGGGATTTTTTTAAAAACCCCTTAAGGAAACATGATGGAAATATTCCGTCATGATTCCCTTTTATTCCCGAAGTTGTGTCCTTAAAGGGTTAAATATTTGAATATAATCAGACTCTTCAAGTCACTTGCTAATTCATTAGTAATTTCAGCTTTCATATAAGACAGTCCCAGTTTCTCCAGTAGTATTTTAAAGATTACCAAGACTCAGCCGTATATTTTTTCCTTTCTGAAGTAATGCACATTCAAATTAAACCTTTTGTACATTTTAACTTCTAATAGCTTCAGTAGCTTCAGAATTTCATATAAATTAGCTCAAACAGCTTTACTTGATCTTTTCTGGCATCTTGCCAGTACAAGTACTCAGCCTAAACCACTATTTTTTTCTAGCTTCCACACACAAGGTGATTAAGTTTAGTCAGAACTCCAGCGAGCGGTTTTATGTTCTCACCACTGAATTATGCAGCTTCACAAGCTTCACATGCTAAGTTTCAGTACCCCTTTTGCCATGTTTGCCATGGTCCTGCCACTGTGGTGTCCCTCACAATTTTAACCAAATTATCTGCTCTGATTCTCTGATGTTAGGAGCTCCATCAGACTGCCAAACAGGTTGTGTGTCCCTTCCTCCCAGCGTGATCACGCTCAATGATTTTAAGGTCAGGAGACTGTGATGGCCTTTCCAGAACCTTCACCTTTTTTCTGCTGTAGCTACTAGAGGATCAATGTGGCCTTGTGCTTAGGGTCAGTGTCATGCTGGAAAGTCTAAGAGCATCCCATGCGCAGCCTTTGTGCAGAAGAATGCAAATTATCTGACAGTATTTTCTGATAACATGTTATCATGCTGCATTCATCTTGCCATCAATTTTCATACGATTCCCTGTGCCTTTAGAGCTCACACCTCCCTCCCCCCCAAAACATCAGTGAGCCACCACCATGCTTCACAGTAGGGGTGGTATTCTTTTCACTATAGGCCTTGTTGACCCCTCTCCAAACATAGCGCTTATGATTGCAACCATGAATCTCTATTTTGGCCTCATTATCTAGCTCAGTATCTAGCCTACTCAGTGCATTCACGTGAGAGCTAACAAACTCATTGACTATTTATTCACAGACACTAATTTAAAAAGCCACAGGTGTAGAAATTAACCTTTCATTGCCATTTAAACCTGTGTGTGTCACCTTGTGTGTCTGTAACAAGGCCAAACAGTCAAGGGTATGTAAACTTTTGATCAGTGCCATTTGGGTGATTTCTGTTATCATTGTGATTTAAAAAGTAGCCAAACAACTATATGATAATAAATGGCTTCATATGATCACAATCCTTTAATAAAAGACATTTTTTGCATGATCAGTCAAATTTTCAAAATAAATGCCCAAATTTCCCAATTTCTGCCAGACTTACCGCCCTCTCTCCCTTTTCTCTCCCTTCTGTTCTAAGTCCTCCTCCAGCAGGCCTACATGGAATTCAATTTCTGGCCACCTTAGCCATGATATTGTACAAACGATTTAAGCTCCACATTTGATATTGATGATGGGAAACACCGAATCAACTGAATATGTGAAACTTTTGCCTACTACCCTGTTCTGTTTTGTTTTAATACAGATTTTGTGTTTGTTTAGTTTATGTGTAAGCAAAATAACTGCTTGTATTTTCTCTTAAAACTTTTACTCTATAAAAATGTGTGCAGTTCCGGTGCTAAACTGAAGATACATGACAGAGGGAAGCAGCAGTTCCACGTGTCCCATATTCTCCCGCTCAGTCATGCTACAGTAGACAAAGACACAAGGTTGGTTGGGTAAAGCCAACAATCTTTCTAGATGGCCCATGACAACTGTGGCTGGGCTCCTAAATGTCCCCTGGCCTCTAGTCAGGGACTTAAGTGCCCTAGTGCTCAGTCTGCTCTGTCCATGGCTTCACTCCTCAGAATCTTGGTAGAGGATATCCATAAAACCGTTCTACAAGTCTAGAACCAACTCAACACCCCTTCACTCTCTTTGTGGAAAAAGTTGTCCTCCGGATGGATCTGCAAGATATCCACAAAAATAAGACATGAAATTTTCAGAATGTCTTCAATATTAAAACCCTACATAAAAATCTAACACCTCTCTTTCCAGTATTGATTGAAATAAAAGTTAGAAATTATTAGACGGTAAATGTACAGACCTATTAGGATGGCCCCCTACCCTATATTTATGGCAGCCTGGTCTACCATATTTACCCTCCATGATATATCCCTATTCCACACCTCATATACCTCATAGTTTTATTGTTATTTTTTTTTTTGCTCTTAAAACTTCCCATAACCAGGATTCCTATAACCCTGTTGTTACATCATGTCAACTCTATTAGTGATTATTGTTTGGGATTTCAAGCCATATGCTCTAGTTCTGTTTTTGCTATGCAACCCTAAAAAGTTATGAATCCTTGGTAGCTTACATTATCAGTCTGCTATTCTATAGATTATCTCAAGAAAAAAAAAAGGTTTTGGAAATAGCAAATAACAAGATATTAAATTAATGAACTTGTTTCCAGGTAGAGTGAATCAATTCTGATACAATGTACGTATACTTATTATTACAGTGGAACAGATAGGAGACAATCAATAATGTTTGTTGTGGGCCATGAATCAATCAAGAAGTATGTGTATGTATTTTACTCATATTCTATGTAAAAGCTTTACTGTGGCTACCCTGGAATAAACAGACTTGCTATGCTTAAATCAGAAATTACATCTCCCAGCTTAGCACAAAAACCAGAGTCAGAGTTTGATCAATTGGGATAGCATTTGCAACATAGAGGTGGAGAGGAAACAAGGATGAAAACGTGAAGACAATACTTCAAACTGTAATTCTGAAAGAAAACACATGTAAGTGGATCTGGATTCTGAAATGTTCTATATAAAATAGGTCCCACTACTGAACTTAATTACCTGACCTTTAAACAACCTGCATTTGAAATATTTTTCCCCTGTATGGTGATTATTGGAATCCACAGCATAACCATCTTTATTTTGGGCAGCAACCAGACCAACATTAAACTGTTGTGTGCAAGCAACACACACCTTTGACTCTTCCCTTAAAAATATGTATAGAAGTACCCTAACCCACTGTGGTGTAAGTGACCTCACCACTGGCTTTTGGAGGAGCCTGTGTGTCAGCCTCCTACCCTGTGACTATGGCCCCTGCAATAAACCTGGCTAAAATATTTCAAACAGGC